GAAACGTTGTTCCCACAGCAACCTAACTGGATGTCTGGATATATTATATATTTATTGCATTTTTATGATTGATAATAAAAATACGTAAATATTTAATGGTTTTAATTTTTATTTTTAAATCATAAAATACAATAAATACAATATATTTAGTTGAAACTTGAATTGCTGTGGTGGCGAACAACGTTTCGTGAAAATATTCGCCCCCCCTGTCAAGGAATTTTCGCGAAGATTGCGCGTGACTTTCAAAAGATTTGTTTTTATTCCTATCCTGAATTTGTTGTGGGAGGTTTTTTCCTTCAAAGTGCAAGTATTTTTTTCAATTTTTCTTTTAGGACTATTCTACAATGAAGTACTCTTGGATACTGTAATCTAAATACATATGAAGACGAAGAAGTGGCATTTATCGGGCAGAGAATCGGCGAGCCGTTAAAATGGCGGCATATGGACGAAATATCGAAGGACACAATATCGAAGATAAAATACACTGCACTGCTCCAAAACTTGCCGAAACTTGGTTGAAATCTCCTTTAGCCATTTGCCATTATGTAAAAGTACAACAACTGGATGTTATTTGCGAGACACGGCGATATAAAGCAAACAAGACGGCAAAGTATGGCTGAAATCGTGTTTTCGTGGGGGGTAAGTGAAATAAAATATATTATATTTATAGAAAACAGTGACTATCCTTATGAAAACTGCAATAATTATATTAAATTAAGCATAGTTTTTCATCCCATGGTAATTTTTTTTAGGAAATAAGGATATTTAATTTCTGCCATGTATATTAGTTATTTTCTGCATAATCAGCAATTTACCTGGGGTGATAAATGGTCATTTTCTTGTAAAATAATATACTTACACAAATTTGTCTTCCAATAACCACCCCTAAAAGCAACCCTTCTAAACACTATAAGCACTTCAGAAAGGCTTTTGCTTTTCGGAAGTTAGAGCTATGTCGGCACTGCCGTTTCAGGGCGGGGTCATTTTTAGGACTTTCGTCCAGGATTCAGGTTTTGGCACATATGCCATGTTGACCGCCATGGTCATTTTACCCTAAAACAGTTGAGATTACCTGTGGTAAATGAAACGCATACAAACTCATATACAGGTCCTAGACTACTAAGACAAAGGCGACTATAAACTGATTGTATTCCCTATAAACTGATTGTATACGGTGTGCTACAATGCTCTAGGACAAGGGAATACAATCGGTTAATCCGATTGTCGGCCTTGTCCTTGAGCATTGTAGCACACCGTATACAATCATGTAATGTACACTATAACTACTATAGTGGATTGATACTATATGACAGTGAAAGAGAGACTTGGAGCAAGTCTATATACAGTACAGTATATAGTTGTTTAAATTAGTAAATTGCTACGTTATTTACATCATTTTCAAGCCCATAACAACGCCAAGTTACAACGTACGCGAAGTCGTTTTGGATGTTAAAAATGTCACAGAATTCACTGACTTTTGCTGCTTACCCTTAATTAAAAGAAGGATAAGTACTTTTAAGAGGCAAGATAAAGTTTAGTAAAGTGTGCTTTGGATGGAATGCAAAAATGTAAGTAATTTTGTTTTCTGCCTGCTAATAATTAGCCGTGTATAAACTGGAACACAGCTAGCTCATTGCATTTCTTAATTAATTAGTTTTTGGGACACCTTGAATGTATAGCCACAGGTAGAATATATGAGCATGGCTTCGAAATTACACGATAAAGAACAATTTCAATTTGATCGAGGTCCTCGCATGTGAAAAACTCACAAGCTATATAAATATGTATTGTTTTTTAAACTGCATGACAATTTATGCTATAATTTATTAATGACGTACTTGAAAAAAATTGATCAGATTATAAGGCGAAGAAAGTTTTTTCATCAAATGTTATATGCAAATATAACGTAACTCATAAATAATGTAACTCAAGCATAGGCGTACCGGGCTGGGGGGCGGGGGGGGCGGTAGCCCCCCCAGTTTTTTGGGCAGTCGGGCAATATTCGATCAACAGTCGGGCAATTTTGGTTTGCAATAAAAAAAATGGGACAAATTCTGTCAATTTTGTCTAAAATTAAGTCAATTTTTTGGCAAATTTTGTGATTTTTCGAAAATTTGTGTTATGTTCCGAAAAATATTGGTTGTCCGGAAATTTTTTTTTGACCCCTAAAATGGTACACTGACCGAAATTTTTTTGGCGCCGGGGGGGGGGAGGTCGCCAAAAAGTCGGGCAATTTTCTTTCCGCCCCCCTAATTTTTTCCTTCCGGTACGCCCATGAACTCAAGGAAACTATTTCATCCATTTGAAAAACTGGATATAAATCAGTATTTTTAGCAATTTATTGCAACTAATTGTAAACTGCTGTCAGCCTGAATATATTTATTATAAATGGGGGAATGAGCAACAAAAATCTACCTGATTTTTACCTGTAGTTCATAATTTTACCTGAAAATATCTAACTTTTCAACCACTAATTAATATTTCTTTCCACAAAATTGTTAGCCACCCGGCGGGAGAGGGGGAGGGAGAGGAGAAAGAGAGAGAAATCAACACAAAAACAATTTCTGGACATATATAAAAAAAATTTCCGCAGATAAGAACATATCCTTCTTCAACACATGCGCGAAAAATGATTCTTTATTTTGACCAATAAATATGGAAATAAGCTTTAACACGAAAACGAGACCTGGAGCCTCGTTTTCTTTTTATTTCCATATTTATTGATCAAAATCCAGAATATTTTTTCGCGAATGTGTTGAAGAAAGATGTCCTGCTTCTCTTTGCATAGCCCATGAGAAAAAAAAACTTGAAATCCTTTCCATTTAAGGTGGTCCTAAGTTGAAAACAGTGTAGCTGTGACGTAATTATCGAAAGGGTGTATTGTCAATAGCAGAATTCACATTACAAACGGGAAACTCATCTCAGTAAAATAAATCCGGAAACATTGGACCTATTCCCTAATGAACAAAATTTTGATCTAGACAAGTCTAGACAAACATTCCATCACAGCTTGAAAGAGCATCACAAAATTAGTAATATTCCGAAGTTTCGTTGCGAAATGTTGTAAAATGCGGATAATATAGCCCTGCGAAATTTGCCGTTTTTCAGTCATTTTGTATTACGCACGGAAAATTGATACCGCTTTCTGAAAAAAGATATCAATTTCCCGTGCGTAATACAAAATGACTGAAAAACGGCAAACTTCGCAGGGCTATATTATCCGCATTTTACAACATTTCGCAACGAAACTTCGGAATATTACCAATTTTGTGATGCTCTTTCAAGCTGTGATGAAATTGTTGTCTAGATTTGTCTTGATCAAAATTTTGTTCATTAGGGAATAGGTCCATTCCACCAGACGGGCCGTCATACACGAGTTTCCCGTCCAAGACATCCCAAGTCCTGCGACGTTCATTCCGCCATTTTCTTCACGTCCGTTTCCCGGTTATACCAAAATAAACGTTATTTAATTCGAACCTACTTCGAAACCTATCAGTCTTAACAGCAGCCAGGGCGTGGACTGGGTGGGTATGTCCACGCCAGTTTTCTCCAAGACTGATATTTAGCGGGTTCAGCAAATTTGTGGAGAAAATGAGCGTCGAAGGCCCAACGTCGAAATTCTCCTTATATTGTTCAGGTAGTTGCATCCCTACCAATTAACGAAAGCTTGTTTATATTATTGGCACTAACCACACTGGCACGGGCAGCTTCAGATTATTTCTGTGATCACAATAGCAATTTTGCAAAGGTAAATTGTAAGATTTGAAGTTCCCTCAAACATTTCTTACATGAAATGCTTCAAAAATCAAAATGTATAATTTACCTATGCAAAATTCCTACTGTGATCACAGAAACTTTGATAGTGTAAACCAGCCTTTAAGGCGGTTTTCCACTAGGCGAAATTTTTCGACCGAATCGAAATTTTCTTTTGTCTTACAAGCACTCAGATGGAACCGTGATGGAACTAAACAGAAATCTTTTGAATTTGAACAATAGAAATTTCGGTTCGATCGAAAAATTTCGCCTAGTGGAAAACCGTCTTTAGTGTATTTTTAACTTCGAAATAAATTATATGATAGACTGACCGTGAAAAAGCTAGTTGTCTTGACTCGATCTCCAGCATGCATGAGCTCGACCTTTGAATTTACCATATGAGTAAATTGTTAAACACTTCCGAAATTATGTTTGTGATGTTACTCTGAGTGTGCATCCACACCGGGCAAGCTAAAATATCATCAATTTCGAAATATCATCAACCACGTAGCTCAGTTGACAGAGCATTGGACTAGTATCCCAAAGGTCGCGGGTTCGATTCCCACCGTGGTCAAGCTAACTTTTCAGCTTGCCCGGTGTGGATGCACACTCAGAGTAACATCACAAACATCATATTCACCTGAGTACATAACACCAACACATACAAAATACTTCCGAAATTATCAATACAATAAATACGCGACACATCACATGTTGAGCCCTAAATCTAATCTAACCACAAATCCAACCCCTAACCCTAATATAATCTTAATCTAATCTTAATCTGACACTAATCTAAACTTGATGACCTTTTTCTTAATAATAACCGTAACTCTATAAACACTAACACTAACCCTAACGGTTTTATGTGGAGTTGCGAATTTAGGGACCGCTCATTATTTATTGTACAGGGGGGGACTGAGGAGAAACTCTACAGTTATAATATTTTTTCGTTGCCCCCTCTTAAGACAAGTAAAATTTTCAAAGCCCCCCCCAACAGGCAAAACAAGAACATAAATTTTGCCCCCTCCCCCTCTAGCTCTTTATCTTTATTTAGAGAAACAAAAACTCTAACTGTTTATTTTAGAGAAAGAAAAATAGGTAATGGGGACCAATAGACATTCCCATTATAGACTAATTTTTTATCTTACCAAAAAAGGTATATTCCCGGGAAGGGCATACTAAAATTACTAAAATTCCAAAGTTTGGTTGCAAAATGTTGTAAAATATGTAGAAAATATAGCCTTCCAAAGTTTGCAAATTTTGTATTCTTTTGTATAATTGCAATTTTCGCATGCAATACAAAAGTGTACAAAATTTGCAAACTTTGCAAGGCTATATTTTCCGTATTTTGCAACAATTCGCAACCAAACTTTGCAATAATTTACTTATTTTAGTATGCTCTTTCTAGCTGTGGTGATTTATTTGCATCAAGGCCGGATTTTGAGGGAAGTGTGGAGAGGTGCGCACCTCCCCAGAGATCGTTTTGCACCTCCCCTGAGAATTTTTCCACCTCTCTTGAAAGGTCATGCACTTCCCCTTGGGAAAGTTTCAATGATGGAACAAAGTGAAAATGTGATGGTTGCTTAGGATCTACACTTTGTGACGTAAGAAAGTTTTCTCTGTAAAATTGAAAAAGTGATAGCCATGTCAAGCACCCTTTTAATGCAATGTTTTGAAAGAAACAGTGTAGCAATTGTAATGAAGGGCAAGATTGGAGTCATACATTCATAATTCATTAATACACTGGTACATATTATGTACACTACATGCATACCTCACCTCGTTGATATTGGCCTGTTCTACAATAAGCCCTAACTTTCCATGGGAGTTGTGAGCTAGACCGCTGCACCTCTCCTAAAATTTTTGTCCACCTGCCCCACTATTTTCACCAAAATCCGGCCTTGATTTGCATCTCTTTGCCTAGTTCTAAAATTAGTCTATAATGGGAATTGTCTATTTACATGAACATGAGAGACTTTTTGACTTCCATTTATGAATATTAAAGTCTATAAATATTGTTATTTGTTGTTAAGTTGTTTTGTGATACATTTTTAAAACTACTGTTTTTTCAAACTGGTAAATATTTTCAAAGCCCCCCTTCTTTCGTCTCTCTGTATTTTTTCAAAGCCCCCCCTTTCAGGTTTTGAAAAATTTGAAGGCCCCCCCAGTTTCTCCTCAATCCCCCCCTGTACAATAAATAATGAGCGGTCCCTTATTGTAATTGATAATTTCGGACGTGTCGCGAATTTAATGTATTGATAATTTCGGACGTGTTCAACAATTTATCCATATAGTAAATTCAACAGCCGAGCTCATGTCAGTGTGACTTTCAGGCTGTATCTTATTCAGTATTTCGAAGTCCTGAAATCTATTTCTTGGACATTTCAACATTTTCCAACAGGCTTACCAGCCCAACACTGACTAATATTTTGCAAATTTCTATATTTCTTGCATTCTATAACCAGCTGCTTTGTGGGAAGACATTTTATTTACAAAAGCAAATGCCATTATTAATCATCATCGCGATGTTTACCGATGTATGGTCTATGGATCCGAGTCAAAGTACAATAAGTTATACAATAACAAGATACGGCTGCCTCTGTTCTATAATAAATCCCTAATTATTTGTCTAGTGAAACTTTAATTCATAAATTGTCAGTATTTATCCATGAAAAAAGCTCAAAGGGGAATTTGAAAGAACAAGCCAGTTTTATATACAGCGCTAACATATGAAAAGGCATGCATTTCAGTTGATCTGTTGTGATGATATTGACAATATGCACGCACCTTTACTCTTCAGTTTATATTTTTGACATCGTCACATTGTCGATCACTTAGTTTGTATATTAGCATAGTACAGTGATACTGATCTTTTGACTCTTCAAAAATGGATTCTGCATGGATTGATTTATCGCAACAAAGTGGAACCAAACGAAATTTGGCAGCTATAAATGAGGACCTTTTGTTGGCGACATTAAATGAGTCATTATGCAGCTAATGACTTATGTTTCCATGTGAACACTTGGGTAAATTTAAACTTTAATCTTTATCAATTGCAATTAACATTTCGGGAAGCCATTTTAATTTACAAACGGAAATAAATGCGGTATCCTTGCAACATGCTGGTGCATAATGTGCCTATGAAACTGTTTTCTCTCATCTTATATTTTCCACTTCGTGTCCACGCTAAATTCAAATTATCATTTGCAATTGGGTAGAATTTTATTTTCTACCCTTTTGTAACCACAGTGCGTCAGTCGGTTTATCGGTTTGGATGTCTGTCTGGACGTTTTGCAAATTTCTAAACCTGACCAAATTTAAAAAGCTGGTGAAACGTGTATTTTGGGTTCACGTACTGTCGTAATCACGACAATATATAATAGATCGCATGAAAGACTGGGACGAGTGAACTCTGGAGAAACATTACCGTGTTAAGAATAGTGTGCTTTATGTTATATGTAAACAACGAGTTTGAGTGTTTCATCAGGGGATCCAAACACGAGAAAACTGTATGAAACACGAACGCGAAGCGCGAGTGTTTTATTGTTTTCGAGTGTTTGGTCCCCTGATGAAACACGAGAAACGAGTTGTTTACATAACATCTCAAACGAAAACATTTCATTGGCTTATATATATTATTATAGTATATTGTTGTGTTTTGACTTGAATTTGTAATTAGGATCTCAGTTATTAGATGAAAACCGTTTTTCATCTAACAACAGTGATGGTATATGATTTTTAGCGTGTTTCCTTGCGGTATCCAACCTCAATCATGTGACGAATTAGGGTGAGTTCATTCGCTAATTTGCTCATGAATTATTAATGAGTTCGAGATGTTATATAGTAGAGAGTGAGATACTGAGAAATACACAGTGACATATTTTCCATATCTTCACCAGTGAAGATATCGATCACGTGACTTTTAGTATTTATACAATTTTTTGCTTGGGACTATATAATAAACAGAACATTACACGTTGGCTTGAAGATATGACTTCTATCTTCTCGTGTTAAAAACAATATTTTACGTTAGTTTACATAAAATATTGTTTTCACCACTCGAAGATAAAAAGTCATATCTTCGCGCCGCCGTGTAATATCCTCTATATACGTTTCGGCAGAATCTATGAGATATCTATGACCCCCCCTTTCTATTTAGTATTTAATTTGCCTGATTACACAGTCAGAACGCCCTAACGTCCATTTACACAATACGACTATACTCGTGTACTTACTAATGGTCGTATACGATTGTCATTCTGGGGTATGAAAACGACTGCTTACTATTCCTGTTCATCAGTTTATGGCGAAATTTGAAATGTCTTACGCGCATTTATTGGAATACATACGCCAGGATAAGGATCATACACGAATTAGTCGCATCGTGTAAATGGGACTTTACAATAAAATTGACCAACAATATTGTTGCACTCACTTGTGAATTTAGGAAAAAATGGCACCGGAAAATATGGCCGACCAGAAAAAAAGGCACCGGAAAAAAATGACTGGGGCGGAAAAAATGGCACCATGGGAATATAGGAATTTAATGCCGGAAAACCTAAATTCTCGGCCGTCAGAATAATTTTTGATTGGAGTCTCTATTTAATATATATTTTCATGTCCATGCAAGTCTATGTTTCCTGTGAATTTCATGCTTGTTATGAAGATTAGCTTACTATGACGCTTAATGATGAACATAGTGACGCTTTCGGGACGAAAATAGCACCCCCTAAGTCTAATTATAGAACATGACGCAACGTATAGATGAATTAATCGAAGAGGTGGAAACTTGTCGCATGGTTAGTCCTTCCTTGGGACCAATTAACAATGGCACAGTCCAAGGTGATGCTCGCACAAACAACCAGTGTGATGGATGGAACAATAAAGTTTTTTCATTTAGTGGGTTACAACCACCCCTCAATTTGGAGATTAATCGACTGCTTGAAGCAGCAAGATGAACTTGGAAATCCATCAAAGAAGAAGACAAAGCGCATTTATTTCCAACTGCAACAACGCCTTAGAAACTTATGTATCCAGTATGGCGAGGGAACAAGGTCGTTGGAAGAGTTCTTGAGAGGAGTTGGAAGGAACATAAGGTTTCAGTTATTGACCATACAGTATATGGCTGATATTTGGGGTCGTAGTAATTACCGACAAAGGCCGACAAAACCGATAAAAGCCGACAAAAAGACAGACAAATACCGACATAAAGGCAAACAAAACCGACAAAATTTTTGTCGGTATTTGTCTGCCTTTTTGTCGATATTTGTTTGAAATATATATATTTGTTTAAAAATCAAGTCTAAGTCGCTTCTTGAAAGGAAGATTTCGACTGTTTGAATGATAAAAAAATTGAACAATAAGATCAAACTAATATGTTTAGCAGTTATTCTACGAACTCGAGTCGAATATGAGCTGATACTATCGCTCATATTCGACGAGAGTGAGTGGAATAACTGTTTTATTATATATACAAGGTCTGAATTCACAGACTTTGCTTTTCGAATATTTTCAATATTTTTCTATTTTGTTTACTGTATGTTTTTATCTTCGCTCTTTCGGCATATTATTTTTTCAAAAATATATATTTTTAACCATTTTAAATTTTAAAAATTTATTTGCTAACCTGAAAACTATTTGTGGGAGTCTTTTCATTGTGTTTTTAATCCTGTAAAGGCTATAAAAAGCGACACTGAACTTGCCGTTTTGGCGTTTTCTCGTTTGCAAACATCGTAAATTCGGTTTGGCCGCCATTTTGTTTTTCTCTACTAGCAGGATGTGAGCTAATATCCTGCTAGTAAAGAACCAATCAGATGCAGAATACCTCATATCCAGACTTTGTGTATATAATAAAATACATTATCCCCGAGCCGATGGCGCGAAGCGTCGTGCGAGAGTACTAATTCCCCCCGGCCATTTACACCCGGGGAAACGAAAGCATTAGCGAAGTCTAAAGTTCATCAATAATCGCGGGCGTGGGTGACCAACGATGTTGGGTGGGTGGTCATCCTCACTGATCTCAAAAATATGGCGGACTGTCATGAATAGCGAACACTGATTGGTCCATTTTAAAGTTTGCATTATAACGACTGCATGACGACAGCGAAACAGCAAACATTTCTTGATTTGATGATTGATAAATTTCTTGCAAATATATTTCATTTTTGCTCGCATTTTTGCAAGATTTTGTAAATTTCAGAAGCGTTCTCAGAAAGAAAGGGCGAAAGAATCGGCTAAAACAAGGGAGCCGACGTCAACAAGGTAAGTTTGTTTTAAATATTTATTTTATAATTGCTTTAAGACCCAACGGCCTTTGCGTATATGAAACAACTAAACAAGACAGCATATAATTTCAGTGTATCTTTAATATTGATTCCCTTTTTTATTATATTTAATTTTTTAAATAAAAAAGAAAGCAAAGTTATTTGCATGCGAGAATTTGAAATCGTTTTATTGCAAACTCAAAGTTTATCGATAAAGCCATTTAATTAAAGGCAGTTTAGTTTTATAAAGAACACTTTAAAACGTTTTGCGAAGCGTTTGTGGTTGAATTTTACCTTAAATTGAATATTATATTACGTATAATAACATACCTAACATATATATGAATTGATAATTTTGTAATTAAAAGTGATCTTTTTAGGCGATTTGTAACTTGTAAGAATATTCCTAAAAAATTATCGTGTTACCATGATAACTACTTTAGATACTTCTGTTTGGAAAACTACAATGGTTTTGTCAGCAAGGCGAGGGTTTCTGCATGCATGTATTTCTAGTACTAGATTGTTTTGATAATGCGTTTCACTGAACTTGTGGAACAATTTGATTTCAAAATAACTTTTTAATACGTAATTGTAATGTAGGGCATATATATTCCGTGTATTATTCTGATAATATAATTAATAGTTATTAAAGACAAAACTAATAAGTCATAAAAAAATTCAAATTCTGACTATGAGTGAATTATTTTCACTCTCGATTTCAATTTGCTTTTGAAGCGACTTCGAATGTTTGTTTATTGATCTTCGGAACGAACATTCCGAAGTTAAATAAACATTCGAAGTCATATTTCAAAAGCAAATTGAAATCAAGAGTATAATATGTATCTCACGCAATCCTTTTTGTTGCCACTTTTTCCGCCCCAGTAATTTTTTCCAGTCACCCTCACTTATTTACTATATTATTCACTTTAATCTTGGGATACACGAGCAATATACAAAACGAATTTTCAGTGCATTGCCATGAAATATTCATGTCTCATCAGATTGGATTTTTGCATTGGCATATTGTATTGCCATACAATATATATTGAGATTGGATTTTTTCGTGGAATTCAATTTCACATATTTTAGCATTTCGTAAATCTTAACCTGGTAGCTATCAGCAGTTCTTAACCGGGTATTATTGTAAATAGTTAGGTTTGACAATGACTTTGAAACAAAGTCGAAAAATTCCCTTGTCCTTGATTTTGTTATCTTGTTTAAATAGCTGGAATCTTGAGTTTACAAGATATTAGGAGTGTGTTTCATGTTTGTGATGTTACTCTGAGTAAAATATGCCCGGCCACGGTGGGAATCGAACCTATGACCTTTGGAATACTAGCCCAATGCTCTGCCAACTGAGCTACGCGGTCAGGACGGTTCGAGTAAGTGATATTTCGGAACAGAATCTAGTTCCTTCGACCAAAGTAATCTAGTAATAAGATTTTTTCTGTGTTGGTGTTGTGTACTCAGGTGAATATGATGTTTGTGATGTGTGTATCTCCACACTGAGTGTATATCCACACTGGGCGAGCTTGAAAAATATGCCCGGCCACTCAGAGTAACATCACAAACATCACATTCACCTGAGTACACAACACCAACACAGAAAAAATCATATTACTAGATTACACTGGAATCGAAGGAACTAGATTCTATTCCGAAATATTACTTACTTGAACCGTCGTCCTGCAGACCGCATAGCTCAGTTGGCAGAGCATTGGGATAGTATTCCAAAGGTCGTAGGTTCGATTCCCACCGTGGCCGGGCATATTTTTCAAGCTCGCCCGGTGTGGATATATACACTCAGAGTAACATCACAAACATCATATTCACCTGAGTACACAACACCAACACAG